GTGTTTATTCATTTTCGATTTCTTGCGCCTTTTTCACCAAGTCAGGATTAGATTTTCCATCTTCAATAGTTTGCAAAGCATCTTTAGTACCTTTTATTGAATAAATTGTGAGATTATTTATCAACACTTTATTTAATAAAGGTATCTCAACTTTTTTTCCTAAGTTGCTAAGGATATAATATACTATAGGAGTATTTGGGATAAACTTAGGAGGTCTTATATCTTCATAGTCTGGGTTAGCAAAAAAACAAATTAAATGAGAAATTCCAGTTATATACTCAATTTCCTCTTCTACCTCTACTTCATATGGTGAATTTTCTTCATAATTTACCAAATCTTTAAGTTTCCTTATTGATTTAATAGTCAATGGTGGTGTTTTTAGGTTATCATTTATATCAAATGGATAAAGGAATGATTCAAATCTATTCGCAATTTTTTGCGCCACCAAACCAGGATAAGTTTCTCCAGCTTTGATAGTTTGCAAAACGTCTTTAGTACCTTTTATTGAATAAGTTGTGTGATTATTTACCAACATTTTGTTTAGTAAAGGTATCTCAACTTTTTTTTCTAAGTTGTTAAGGAAATAATAAACTATAGGAGTATTTGGGATAAACTTAGGAGGTCTTATATCTTCATAGTCTGGGTTTGCATAAAACCAAATTAAATGAGAAACTCCATTTTCATACTCAATTTCCTCTTCTACTTCTACTTCATATGGTGAATTTTCTTCATAATTAACCAAATCTTTAAGTTTCCTTATTGATTTAATAGTCAATGGTGGTGTTGTTAAGTTTTCATTTATACCAAATGGATAAAGGAATGATTCAAATCCATTCGCAATTCTTTGCGCCACAGTTTTGATAGTTCGCAAAACGTCTTTAGTACCTCTTATTGAATAAGTTGTGTGATTATTTACCAACACTTTGTTTAGTAAAGGTATCTCAACTTTTTTTCCTAAGTTGCTAAGGAAATAATCTACTATAGGAGTATTTGGGATAATCGTAGGAGGTCTTATACCTTCATAGTCTGGGTTAGCAAAAAACCAAATTAAATGAGAAACTCCATTTTCATACTCAATTTCCTCTTCTACTTCTACTTCATATGGTGAATCTTCTCCATAATTAACCAAATCTTCAAGTTTCCTTATTGATTTAATGGTCAATGGTGGTGTTGTTAATTTTTCATTTATACCAAATGGATAAATGTATGATTTGAATTTAATAGGAGCTTGTCGTGGTTCAATTTTACTTTCTAAATCCTGAAGACGATATTTAATAAAATTTGAATCGTATCCTTTATTATCGCTTATCACATTTTTCACATTCCCATCAAAGAAAGTATATTTTTTCCAAATAATGGTGATAATTATAAGACATGAAATAAAATATCGATTGAATTTTTGAACATGGGATTTATGAAAAGAAAAGGTACCCATTTAAATATAAGTAATTGATGAGTAATTGGCGAGGAATCAAAAATGTTGAATAAGTACCTTAATATATGAGAGAGTCAAGAAAATCTTTTAAGATCGAACAAGGTGAAGAAAAAGTCTATCTATCTATCTATCTATACTACAATTTCACCGTCTAGACTCATCAACCCGTAGATCAATCTATCTATCTATCTATACTACAATTTCACCGTCTAGACTCATCAACCCGTAGATCAATCTATCTATCTATCTATA